GGCTGGAGAATGAGAATAGTAGTATAAAGACAAGGTTAAAAGAGCTAGAAGATGAAAACAATAATATAAAGAGGAGAGTGAAAAGATTAGAAAATAGGAACAAGAGTAATTAAGATATTAGTAGCAAATACTAATTCTCATATTATATTATATTCACAAGTAGATAGAATGGAAATAGTATGAGTGTAGAGATATTATTGTTTTTCTCTACAAAGACAGTTTCTCTTTATAATCTATATGTATAACATAAAAGACCAAATAATACTAACTTCTAAGCTCTTATATATAGCCTAATACAGACATGCTCAACACTCTATGACTCTAGCTCCATTTCAAATAGCCCTATTTATAAAGTTTGCTATTACAGTCTTGAGTCAAGTACTTTGACAATGACTAATATTTTTAGTTCTAGAGCTTGCAAATCCTTACTACAAGCAAACATTTGTTAGTTAGTAACAGACATGTTGATTACATTGGTCACTCATAGATACAGACACAAGCACAATCATAGATTTCCTTTGTATATCTATAAAAGTAATGTGATAAAGGACAAGTTGTACAGTACATATTAGAGTACTTGTCTCTACTCTTTTATTACTGGATTACCAACCTTTTGTATGTAATTGCTGCAGAAGTTGACAGACTGACTTACTATTGCAATCTTGACGTGCCGAGCTATCTAAGCCTATCTTATCTGGTAGACAATAGCCTTTCAGTCTGCTTCATTATCTATTTCTCAAGCCCATTGAGCAAACTAGCATTATTTACATAAGCACAACCAACCCGCAAATTACCCCAACCAGACACAATCACGTCAACAGATCACATTGTATTTCCCAATTCAAAAGTACTGCAAGCAATATTGAATCTTTTATATATACCACCACATATGCTCTAAGATCTGAAGGAATTTGCAAACAACCTCCTTTCTAATATGTCCCTCTCAAAACATCGTGATCTTCGTCAGAATCATCCTAGTCCAGACAAGCGAAGCTCTTCGAATAGTAGAAGACAAATTACTGACAGAAACGAGGAGGAGGAGAAACTAATAGTTAGGTACCTTTATGAAGTAATGCAGAAGAGTAATGAGGAAATCGAAAAGACTGAAAAGGCTATTGGCAAAATTGAAGAGGACTATAGAGCACTGGGAAAAGTTGAAGCAGCAAAAGATTCAATAGCAGAGAAGTTCAAGGAAATTTTGTTAATGTGCAAAAAAGAAGAAATGAAAATAGCTAACCAGTATATACAGTCGTGGAAACGTGTACAGTTGTGCGAAACGAAACTTCATAAGGCTTTGGGTGATCAATCTGGTTCTGTAAGAACTGTGAAAAACATAAAGGAGTTCAGAGATAGAGCTCTTGATAAAGAAGGGGAACTAATACAGAACACAAATAGAGCTCTTTCATCACTACTCAAAGAAAAGCACTGGGGACTAACTGGAAATGTCCTTGGAAACGATACAAGCTTTATAGCAGTACAATCAGTAGAAATGCAGATTAGAGCATTAGAAACTGATTGTATTCTCGGCCAAATCCAGTGTGATATCCTGTCCAGGTTGAGGAAGTTGGAAGAGGAGAACAGTAGCATGAAGAGGAAGCTAGAAAGGTTAGAAAGCGGGAACAAAGACAATTGAGAAGATACTGGTAGCAAACAGTAATTGCCATGTTAACAGTTAAGTATATAAAAATATAAATTGTAGCATCAATCGATATTGATACGCATTTGAAGGTATTCTTCTATTTCTTCAAACTTCCTTCAACCATACATACACATGGAGTACTAGACATTGCCGCCTTATCAGCTATAAGTACAGTATAGTGTATGGATGCTCTTTAACTCTATCCCAAACTTCGATCAATCCCAATTATGAGATTTGCTGCAATCCCAGGTCAAGAAGCACGAGCGTGCAACCTACAATGGCCAACACCTCTGGTTCTAGATCTTGTGAGCCCCTCGATCACAACATACGTTTGTCATGTATAGAGAGGAAATAGTCTATAATGATACCGTTCTATAATAGAGCTACAAGCATAATCGCAAGTGTAATGTAACCGTGGGGATCTACTGTACATGTGTAGAAATAACATGATAAAAAGAAAAGATGTCATACACTAGTACCTACCAGAACTCGAATTACAGAAGCCAGTCAGAATGTAAGAATTAGTGAGTAATGACTCATGAGGAACCAGAATGCGAAAGGGGCAATATTAGCAGACAAAGTACATCTATCGCGTCTCCCCTGTACGTGTCTGATTATTCAATCCTTTGTAACCGTTGCATGACCTGATTGACTGACCTCCAATAACGACCTTGATAGTGATGCCCTTATCTATCTTACATAATAGCTAAACACCCTTTGAAATTGCTTCGTCGTCTACTGAGCAACCCTATTGAGCAAACTGGCATTATTTATATAAGCTTGACTTACACACAAATTACTGTAAACAGACTCAATTACCTCGATAATTCACAGCGTATCTCCTAATCCAATAGCACTGAAAGCAAAATACGATCCTAATAGCAACTAAATTTTGCAAACTCAAGATTAAAGATTATATAAAGTCTACCATTATCTAGGCTCTAAGGTCCAAAGAACTTTGTACACACGTTTTTTACAAGTATGTCTATCTGCAAGCATTCTCACCATCATCTCATTCTAGTCAAGCCGATCGAAACTCTTCATTCAGGAAACAACAGGCTGACATCAGAAAAAGAGAGGAGGAGGAAATTATACAGGGGTACCTTGGTGAAGTAATAAGGGAAGCTGATAAGTATATCAAGGAGGCTGAGGAGACTATCCAGAAGGTCCAAGGTGAAGTTAAAGAACTAAAAGGTGTCACAGTGGATCCAGATGACAAGGCAGCTACCGAGTTTAGGAACTTTCTTTTAACGTGCAAGGACAAGGAAATAAAAGTAGCTAATAAGTATATAGAATCTTGGGAAAGGACACGAGATAAGGTTACTATGGGTGATCAATGGGGCTCCTTAAGAACTGCAAAGTATATTAAGAGCTACAGAGATAGAGTTCTTACAGTAATAGAGAGTCATTAATAGTGCTCCGCACCGTAGCGTAATTTACGGATACGCCTGCAGCGTATACGCTTACGCACCGTATCGTAAGAGAAAATTTTAGCTGAAAATACGGGCGTATATTTACGCACGTATGCGTATACCATAAGTAAAAAATTTCCGTATACGCCGTATACGAGTATACGGTATTACTAAGCATATTCTCTAATCAAATACTAAATTTGAGTTTCTAAACCTCATTTACTTTACTTATTTATATACCAAATCATTTTAATACTATATAACAACCTTGTTTAACTTAAAAAGTACTAGTATGAGTACTACAGTTAGTATGGTTT